TATATACATCTCCTTGTAAGTAACGGCACTAAATAGCTGAATCGTTGTAAAGGCATAATGATGAGGACCATCAATAAGTCCCAAACCGACCTATGTCTGCTCTGGTTGGTTAAACTTACAAACGATCACAGCTGTTGTACTAGGTGTTGTGAGTTTGAAACAAAATATTTTTTATTACTGAGAAATATTTGACCAAAACTATTTTGTATTGAACATACGATACATTAACAGAATTTGTTTAACCGTAAGTGTCAAATATTTATTTCAAATGCTGCATATTTTTAAAGTAAGAAGTTAAATTTTTTAAAGTATTTAAATAAATAATTTTCTTGGAGGAAGAAAATATTTTCTTCCGTATAAACGTGCGATACTTTAAAATCAAATGTTGTACATTTAAAGCAAGAAATGTTTTTGCGTGTACTTTCCCTCAAAAACGGTTAGATTTAGGACCAATGTTATATAAAACTTTTTTGTTTATTTTCACCTATAGGTACCTTCATGTACGAATTTAAAAATTTGACTTCCCTCCCTATAGTATGTAAAAATTACTAATACTTGATGACATTGAGATAGTATTACTGAGTAGTGCACATAGAAAGACTAATGATGATTAAGGTTGGCGGCAAATGCACTCTTCCAGTGAACTGAACACATTAATGAGTTCCACCCTGTTGAAACAGAACCTGTTTCAGGTTCAATTGTCAGCTAAAATTTGAAGTGCATAGGCATGTTAGAGATTTGCCTAGTTCTATCAGACCTTTAGTTAATGTCCTATTGACTATTCAGTAAAATCGGAGAAAGGCATTAGAGCAGTTTTCCCTAGAAAAGCTATTATTCAACAAACATTAAAGAGCTCTTTTAAACTACTTTTAATGTAGGTACCGTATGTTCAAAATGAAATATATTTAAGAGGTACAAAATATTTAATTTGATATTACCACATTCGACAGTGTAACGAAGCCTATGGAAGTTTGCGCATTAGTGTATTTTCTATTTATTCAACTGTGTAATAAACATATTTTAGACAAAAAAAGTAACCCAAAATGTTTTTTTCTTTGAAATACAATTGCGAATCAAATCAACTTATAGAATTTACAAATGATTTGATGCCGAAATTTGTGATGATCGGCCAATATTTCCACCACAGGCTGGTGTAGTTGTATACAGGGTGTCACAGAATAACTATTCCAAATTTTCTGAAATGATACACTGACACTTAAATAAACGTTTTTTTATTAATAAACTAGTGTTGGGATATTTCTCGGTATCAAGATAAACTGGAAATCCTTAAAAACAATCTGAATTACAACAGGAAAGAGTAGTAACTTACTATGTTGAAGCAGTTAAATTAAAGAACATTTTATTAAGAAATAATACTGCATCGAAACTTTATATGAATAGTTACGACCACCATTATACACAAGTTGTAACGATGTGTAATCGACTGCCAAATTCTTTGAAATAACTGCGGATGTTCACAAATACAGGGTGTAACTAAATAAGTGTAAAACATTTAAGGGGGTGATTCCTCATCGAAAAAAGATAGGATCTTTCATATAAAGAAACTTCATTGGAGCATCCCTTGTTAAGATACAGCCCCTTAAAGGGGGTACATAAAAATTTGTTTAACAATTTTTTCACAAGCACTAAACAAGTTACAATATTGAAATTAACCTGACATTTTCTACTACCAAAAAGACACTTAGCCAGTAATTTATTTGGTTTACCCCATGGTTGTAAGGGGTGGAAAACGCAACCCCTAAAATTTATTTCCAACGTAATTTTTTGTCTTATTATTTTTTTACCATTTAAAAATTTATTTCCGATAGCCTGTTTCATTCTAAAAAA